CTTATTAAATTTGTTTTATCTGACTAGCAAGAACTAAACAGATAGAAGTTGATGTTGTATTCTTGGAACCATCACATTAATTGTGTTCATACCATGCAATGAGTTTTAAGGAGCTTAGTCTGTTTATCTTACAGAGAAGTTTAAGAAGCAACTTTAATTGTGGTGTAGGAGTACTTACAAGGAGAGAACAAACCAGAAATTTAGAAGGCTTTTTTAATCCACAGGATAAAGACATAACAAGATCAAATGGCTCAAAATTAAAACTGGAGCAACTCAAACTGGAAAAAGGATGTGTAATAAACAAGAGGGTAATAAACTATTGGAACAGATTACCAAGGGATATTGTTGGAAACTCTCTCTTACAGGGAGACTTTAAATCAAGGTTGGATGTCTTTCTAAAAAAGATGGTCTGGTTCAGCTACAAATTATGGGGCTGAATGCTGAAATTACAGAGTGAAATTCTGTGGCTTGTGTTGTGCAAGAAGTCAGACTAGCAGATCATAATGTTTTTTCTCCTTAAGACAGTATTTAAATTAATTGATTTTTAACAGTGAGCAGCCTTTTGGCAACTGTAACTTCAGAGGAATGTCTGTAGCTATTCCAAATTGCCTCTTCTAGAAGCATATTGTTATGCACAGACTGGATGCTTAAAACTTATGCAGATGTGATGTCATTATAAGTAATAGTAATTCTTGTTTTGTATTCTTTGATATCTAATCCCTTGCAGTTCCATTCCTTTCAATACATAAATGCCAGATACTTGGATAATTATTAATTCTGTCACATTTTAAATAAATGCAGTTTGTTAAATTTCCATGTGAACTATAGAGAAATTTCCCTGGCCTGAACTTGCATCAAAATTTGAGCTGAATGGAAAGGCTTTCTTTCACTTAAGTTGCTGTTATGGTCAGAGGATACACTTTGCCTTGCTAGGGGTTGCTCAGTGTATTGATTCTCCTGCTCTGAACTTGGGTAGGGGGGCAAGTTCATTTATTTTTAAAACTGGGGAGTGGGGGGGGATGAGGTGGCGGGTGTCAATATTCCAAATACTTCCTGGCTACCCAGTGGTGGTGATGATGCAGCTGCAGCAGCAGCATTCAAGTGAAGGTCTGGAATTCATTTAGGGCATGTCTACACTTAGGGCTTGGCTACACTTGCGAGTTACAGTGCATTAAAGCAGCCCTGGGCGCCCTAGCTCACTACCTGTCCACACTGGCAAGGCACGTAGAGCGCTCCTGGTACTCCACTTAGGCGAGAAGATTAATGCTTGTTGCGCCTTGGCTGAAACGCCCAGGCATCAGGGTGAAGGAGGCGTTGCATTACTGCGCTCTGATCAGCTTTGAGAAACGTCCCATAATCCCCTTAAGTCAAGTAGCCACTCTTCTCATTGTTTTGAACTTGCTGTAGGAATGCGGATATGCCTGTTGAAAGCGCTGTTTCTGACAGCCAGCTGCTTATCTGCTCCAAGACTAAGCAACCATTACTGTGGAATGCTGTGTGAGAGAGAGAGAGAGGCGGGGGAGGAAGGGCGGGGGTCTGCTGCTGTCTGAATTTACAAGACGGCATGCTGACATGCTCTCAGCCCCTCCAAAAAACCACTCTCTCTCCCCGCACATACACACTCCCTGTCACACTCCACCCCACCCCCCCATTTGAAGAGCACGTTGCAGCCACTTGCATGCTGGGATAGCTATCACAATGCACTGCTCTCTGTGGCCGTTGCAAAAGCTGCTAATGAGGCCACGTCAGTGTGCTTGTAGCTGTCAGTGTGGACATATTGAAGCGCTTTCCCTACTGTGCTCTACGAAGGCTGGTTTAACTCAAAGTGCTCTACATTTGCAAGTGTGGCCAAGCCCTTAGCTTCAGTATAAACACTGCCTACTCTGACAGGAGGAGTTGCTCAGTTGGCATAGGTAATCCACTTCCCTGAGGGGGATAAATAGGTCAGCAGAAGAATTCTCCCCATCAATTTTGCACTCTGTACACAGACCTTAGGTTGGCTTAACTATGCTGGTCAGGGGTGTGGATTTTTCACACCCCTGAGCGATGTAGTTATGCTGACCTAATTTTCAAGTGTAGACCAGGCCTTTTTGGTTTTCACTCTAATCTGCTGGCCTGGAAAGTGCTGTGTGTATAATTAAACTAACGAGGCACCCATCAGTTTCATTTTCATGTTCCTGTAGCACTCTTATGATCTTGTAGGAGGAAAGGAAAGAAAGTGGGAGGGAGATGACGACGGACGGGTGTAGTAGTGGGGAGGATGTGTGGGTGATGGGATGGACAACACAAGAGACAGCACCAAGTGCAGAGTCTAAATTAAAAAATGTGGAACCAGTTTTCTTGCCAGGGAGTGGTTGTACCAGTACTAGCAGGGCAGACAACAGGAGCAGGGCAGGGTGTTCAACACCGAGTCATGAAAACCTTCTTTCAAGCCACTGCTGTAAACACCTGAGTCTAGTCTGTGCTAGGGCTTACACCAATGGTGTATCTTTACTGCTGCTGCTGCACAGGAGGTATAAAAATTGCTAGTGGATATGAAGCCAGGGAGAGGCTCTAAAACTTCCTAGAAAACGTAGAATATGAAAGAAGGCAAAAAAAAGTTGTGTTTTTTTGAGGAAGGAGGGTAGAGATTGCATTTGATTATGTTTCAGCTATCATTATAATGGGAATAGTTAATTGAGCTAATTTGCCAAAGAAATTTGGAAATAAAATCTCCCCAGTAAAGTTTGAATTTATACCACCGCTTAACACTGCATGTATATTGTGGAGGTTTGGAAGGAGAGTCCACTTATAGTTGTGCATGTGTGAACACTACACACGAGTAAAATTAGTAGACATGTCAGCATCCAAATTCTTCAGTACTTTTCAGTACAGTTTGTTTTTTCTTAATTCTAATTAAGCATAAATTGCAACCCAAGGAGTGTAATGAATGAGACCTAGAAGATAAAAGGAAAATGTGAACTCTTGCTTTGTTAGCTCTAACATTATTTGATCTTTATCTAAAAGGCATTGCCTTCCCAGCTTACTACATTTGGCAAGAGAGATGAATCACATCATTCTTGTTGACAGGGAAAAATAAGGGAAATATTTTTTTGTTCCTCTCTAGTATTTCAATTTCTTTGGTAAAATTATATGGATGATAGCCCACATGTCTGAGTACAGCTTTTACATAATAGCAATCAATAATCAGGTTGGCAGTTTAGTCTAGTGGTCTTTGTACTCGGTGGAAGATAGGGGTTCCTAAGTTTTAGGGCTTGTCTACCTGGAGAAACTGACCAGCTAAAGCAGAGTAATGGTTGAATAAAGTCACTTTAACTCTGGAATAGTGTCTGCATATAGCTATATTGGCTTAGCTATAGTTATAATTATTCCACTGTAGCTAAACAATATATTTCTCCGTGTAGACTAGCTACTTGTTTTGCTATGCCTGTCTTGCTGAATGGTCTTATGGCAACAGAGGTTTAATTGGGGCTTGATGTCTCTCTCCTTTTTTTTTTTTTAATTGAAACTTGTGGGTTATGCTTTGAGGATTAATGCTATGTACATCATCAGAACCTGCGTTGTATGACACTTTTCTGCCAGTTTTACACTGAGTCTCATATAATTTTACCAGAATCACTAATTTAGCATGGATAACTAATTCCAAGGTCAACTAACTTCTCACAATTTAGTTTTGTATTTCACTCTTGATACAGCTTCTAAAATACCATAACGAGGAAGCAAAAGATGCAGTCTCTGTATTTTATGCACACTAGACTTTTGTGCTGTAACTTGTTTGTTTTAGCTATAAAAGGATGATTATTGATTTACAAAAGTAGATTTATCTTTTTTTTGGAGATAACAGAGCAAACGAGTCTCAGATGTTACTTGCATTAAACTCAATGGGATCACACTAGGGATGACTTTGGACAAATGTTTATGTATATTGGATATGAACTCTAGCAGAATAACTGGATTATAGTTGGCAGGTTATAATGGCTTTCTCTTAAATAAGGGAATGACCATTCTGCTCCTCCTGTTTTCGGGATTGTCTAATTAATGTAAGTAAATAACTGAGGGAACCGGCTCTAAGTAATTCCATTTTAGTTTAGATTTGGCCTGTGAAAGTCTACTAAACTCTGTAACATCTCTAGTTTGATGACTAAGGCCCTGAGCCTTTATTGAGTTCTGTGCAAACAGACCTCTCTGTACCACAGACAGGGATCAGCGCATAAATCAGTAGATTGATAGAAAAGTGATGACCAACAGAGAATACCTGCAGATTGAAGTCTCTGTTGGAGGGCTTCTTGACAGTCAATTTAAAAATCTAACTCACTGTTGGTATTGGTGGTGGTGGTGGTGAGAAACGTGCATTAGCACTTACTATTGCTTTGTATCCCTTAGCTACAAACTTTCACCTTAGAGTTTCCCTCTTCACCTGAGGAAAATCGTCTTTTTGTTCCTAAAAGGAACCAGGAAAAGCTTGGCTTGTGTCTGGAGTGGAATTGGTTGGCTCATCTTGCCCAGTCAGTCATTGTTATTGGAGAGAATGTTAAAAGTCCTAACCTGGGAAGAATACTAAATTGCGAGATCATCCAGTACAGTAGCTTCTCTATTATTAGGTCTCATCATAATTAAAATAGTACAAGTCTGGAGTCTTGCTATCATGGTGATAGAGATGGTTGAGTAATAATATTAATCCTATTAAACTAGACACTTTGCCCTATGATCACCCAACTCTTCATAAAAAAAAAAAAAAAAGTCTGATGGAACTTCCTTGACCAGAAAGATGTCATAAAGGAGGGGACAAGGCACCCTCATAGCGTAAGATTGCAGACTCAAAAGCCACTGCCTTAGTGGGGGAACAAAGGCGGTCCAGAGTATAGCTACCAGACTGCTGCCAAGAACTACAGAACCTTTTTAAAATATAAATAAAGCAGCAGGTGTGTGTAGTAAACTTAACGTTTGTCTGAGAATGTCTTAACTGACTGTATTTTCCCTTCCTTCCCTTCATCTTGCAGCTGATTGCAATGCCGTTCTTAAAGGTCTACAGCCTGTTTTTCAAGAGCAGGGAATGACAGAAACAATTCATAACTGGGAGGATCATGGTTACTTAGCAACTTACGTCAACAAAAATGGCAGGTGAGTTGGATATTGGACCCTGGGTTCATATTCTGACCAGATGAGTGAAGTCATCTATGAGCAAAGTTATAACTATGTAAGAAAAGCAGCGTTAACACCATCTGAGCTTCTGAAAGCAATCTATAAAAGGAACCGTATATCTGAAAACCTCTGCCCACCCCTTCATCCCCAAACAAAACAAACAAAATAAAACCCCTAAAGGAACAAAACAGTTGGGTACTGCCTGAGACTTAGTTTAAATACCATACTTAACTAAAACTTTTTTGAACATTTTAAATTTAGAAGGTGTTTTACTGTGTCCTTGTTGTTTTCATTTTACCTTCTTCCCTACCTTTATTTATTTCTTTCCTTATTCTAGATCAGGGATCGGGCAACCTTTGGCACGCAGGCCGAGATGGTTTGTTTACCTGCTGCGTCCACAGGTTCGGCCAATCGAGGCTCCCACTGACCGCGGTTCGCCGTTCCAGGCCAGTGGGGGCTGTGGGAAGAGGTGCAGGCCACGTGCCAAAGGTTGCCAATCTCTGTTCTAGATCATGGTGTGTCTCTTCCTGTTTTTCAGCCACCTTATTTTTCTCCCCTGTCCACACCGTACTTGCTTTACTTCCTTCCCTATATATTTTTTTCTCTTATTTTATTTCTCCCTTGTGGGTCCCGAAAGGATCATGGAGTCTCCTAGGCTGAGCTGATCCGCCTGCTCCTTTTTATTTCTCTGTGTGTGTGTATGTGTGTGAGAGAGAGGAGGAGAGGGGTCCTCCTGTTGTAGTGGAATTAAATTAACCCAAACTTCGTCCAGTTTCATTGCTGCACAAAACTCTGAACAGTAGCAGTGAAAACTGACCACCCTAATCAGTTTTATCCTCTGTTGCAGCATAGGAAACATCTCAGAAACAGACAGCCAGGAACTGTTTCTCTTCAGACTTAGGACAACCATCACTTAACATTCCCATTGTGAACTGAATGCCATCTTTGCAGTCAGAATGGCTAGGGTGTTTTTTGGGAGGGGGGTGGGGGGGAATAATGAGATCATAAATTCTGCAGAAATCCAAAGTTACACTCCTTCCAGCTCCCTTTGAGAGAACTTCCTACTTGCCATGGATTACTGTATTTGAAGCCCTGCCATAGTTTATCACTGCTGCTTTAAACTCAGGATTCTCAATTTTCCAACGATAAGATCGTTATATGTTTAACCACGTTTTAGCTTTAGAAAATTGCAGCATGTGAATGATAGATGTACTAACTGAAGTGCATTTTCTGGAGAGAAGAAAAATGAAGTCCCCAGGGCTTCTGTTTTTCCCAGATCTGAAGAAGAGTTCTGTGTAGTTCAAAAGCTTGTCTCTCTCACCAACACAAGTTGGTCCAATAAAGTCACCCCTCTTGTCCCTAGATATGCTAACTTGGTATTTTTGCCCCTTTATTGCCATTGCTTTTGGCTATTTTACAAACCCATTGGTGATTTCCCAAAAAATATGACTGGGACACGCTTTCATATAAGCAGAGCTAATTGAGACAAACTAATAAATAAAACCAGGCTCAGTTTATTCCCCTTAGCTGCTTTACCATGCAGAAATATATATATATATATTTTGAAGGACTGCATATTTAATATAATTGGCCTATTTGATGCTTCACATCACGAATTAGATGAGCTTTACTGCGTTCATGCCTAACCATTTTGTAACTTTGGCTCATCGTTGAGGGCAGAAACCAAAAGCTGTGCAGTTTGACGTGGTTTTTACGCTTTGTGGTTTTTGTTTGTTTGCGCTGGCTTAGCTATGCTAATCTAAATGCAGTGGTGCAAGCTCAGAGTATAGAGATGTTGCAGTTTATCCTAGTTTGCAAAGTGAGAAGTGTCACCATGGCTGTACGGGGTTTTCTTGTGGGACTTATTTTCTTTCTTACACAATTTTGAGCTGTACCGGTGCAAAATCGCGGTTTACACTATGGCAGGGGGTTTGTGATAGGAGCTTACACTCACTGTTATATCAGTTTCGCTACACAGGTACAAAAATACTCAGTGCAGAAAAGGCCTTATATCTTCCACTAAAAAAGATGCTTCTTGAATCTTCTGTTAGCTAGGAGGCTTGCCCGACTGCAGCGCGCTCTCATTCTATTTTTTTTTTTTAAACTGAACCCTCTTTACTAAAAAGGTTAAAAGGAAACTCCAAATTTTGTAACTTTTGTTACAGCCCATTAAAACATTTGTGGACATAGTTATACATTTAGTCAAATGTTAGCTGGACTTAAGGAAACTCTGAGGCCTTGTATATACTAGAATGTACTGCTTGAATTATACATATAGAATTTGTATGTTAATAAAGCAATGCCTTTAGATTTACAGGTTTCAGAGTAGCAGCCATGTTAGTCTGTATTCGCAAAAAGAAAAGGAGTGCTAGTGGCACCTTAGAGACTAACCAATTTATTTGAGCGTAAGCTTTTGTGAGCTACAGCTCACTGCATCCGATGCATTCAGCAATAAGAAAGCTTATGCTCAAATAAATTGGTTAGTCTCTAAGGTGCCACTAGTACTCCTTTTCTTTTTAGATTTACAGTTAGCAAGTTTGTACATTGTTCTGTCATGCAGCTGTAGTTTGACCTTTGTCAAAAGACCTTCATATTATTCCATTGGCAGTGGCTGGAGTTAGTTACCTTACAAAACTATTTTGGCTTTGGTAGGAAACCTTGTAACTCTGATAATAAGGCCTAAGTGGAGGGTGCTGTACTCAGATCCATCTTGCTGAACAATGTCTCCTCTTTGTGAGCCTGAATGAGGAGCTTTCATACTGGATTGCTGGGTCTTGTCAGGCACAAACACTGCACGCTGAGTGGGAGGTGTGTCAGGTGACGCCCAGGAGGGAGAATAGCCAGCTTTAATATCAAAGTAATTGCTTTGGGTAGTTTCAGTACTTACCTATGCCCTGAACCAGGCAACGAAAGCTGGGCCAATGCAGGGCCACATGCAAAAGTGCTAAAACTAGAAAAACGAAAATGTTTTGAACAACTCAGATATATTGTTAAACATTGTGTATGCAATACAAACTCTGTAAAATGAGCATGCTACTCTTTAGTTCTAATATATTAGAGATTCAGACTATTACCGTTGCTGTCGACAAAAATTTATCTGACAAAGACATTATCTGAACTGCCCTTTGGAAAGCTGCAGCTGTTAAATGAATCAGAGTTGATTTGCGGATTACGCCACACTTTCCTGTTGTCATTGCCAAAATAACAGAGCTGCGTCCTTCTTTGTCTGAAGTTAAGCTAGCAAAAGTCACATTTGGCAACTCTACCTGGTCCATTTAATTCATGATTTACTCTGACAAAGAACCTAATTGAAGAAGGCTCACTTGAAAAATATTCACTAATCATTTTGTCAACACAAACGTAGGGGAAATAACCATTCACACCCCACACAGAAGCAAGATACTGCCCACTTTAACCAATCAAATCATTGCCAGTAGTGGTGTGAATGAATATTTTCTTTGCTGTACCAGCCTCATTGACCAAACACTGAGCTGGCAAATACACCAAAGTGCATTGTGGGACTTCAGCAATTTTTGTTTCTGACCAATACCTTTAAAGTCACTTATGTAAATTGCATTAACTTTTAAAAGGGTGCCTTGTGTTAAGCAGCACATTTCTACCTGAAATGTTACTGATTCTCATTACAGGTTGTGCATGACATTGTAGGGAAAATTATTACTGCACTTTCAGTGTATTTTTACTTTTTGCGTATGTGCTGGCACCTTCCATACAGCAACTGGACAAGAAACTAATGATTAAAAGAAAACGTAAAACTTCAAAAATTGGCAGAGGAATTCAGGGTGAGGGGAGCACTAAAGGTAGTACCTGTAACTGCTCGAGGTTTATTGTTTTTAATTGATGGTGCCATATACATGAATACTGTATCTTACTGTGTTGTAGTGGCAGCTTTGATAGCGTGTGTGGGTAAACTTGAGATTTGCACGTGGTGTCTGGGCAGGCAGTGTATGTGGGGAAAGGGGGAGGAGTTGCTTCAAATCCACACTCATGGTCTGCCTGCACAACTGTTTAAAAGCAAAATCCCTCTTTCTCATTTAAAAAAAAAATAAAAAAAAAATGAGCTACTTCTCTGAGTAGCTGTGACCTTCACCTTTTTTTAAACCTCTGTTCAGCCTTGGAACACAATAGAGCACTGGGATTTTATTTGCATTTGTGTTCTGTAGATTATGATTCTGTTTTGGCCTACAGCAGGAGGGTGAAGGATTTTTTTTATCTCATGTTAACACCTCTTTAAAAAAGCCTAGTCTGGACACTCTCCAAGCATTTGTTTCAGGGCTTGTCTTCACATACAGCGCTATAGCAGCGTAGCTGCAGCACTTAAGTGGAGACGCTCCTACACTGACGGGGGAGCTTCTCCTCTCCGTGTAGTTAATCCACCTCCTCAAGAGGTGGTAGCTATGTTGTGGGAAGAAGCTCTCCAATTGACATAGCACTGTCTACGCTGGGGGTTAGGTGGGTGTAACTTTGTCACTCAGGGGGTGGATTTTTCACACCCCTGAACAACTTAGTTATACCGTGGTAGGTCTGAAGTGTAGACCTGGCCTCAGGCTATAAATTGTGTGGTTTACCCTCGGAATCATCCTAGAGTCAGAAGGCATAATCAGATGTGTAGTCACTTTCTAGCCCTGTCACTGTCTCTTGTAACATTGGGTATATCTTAAATTCCTTCATTTTCCCATCTGTATAATTAAAATACCTACTATGCAGGAATGGTGTAGTGATGGCTTTCATTCATGTTTGGTAAATGCTCTGAAATCCATTGGGAAATACTAATAGATGTGCAAAGTTTGAGACATTTCAATGGTATTATTTTAATAAATCAATCAGGATTGGCTTCTGTCCCCTCCCCTATTATGAGGAATACCTAAGTGACAGAAGACAACATTTTAAAAGTGACCTGTCTAGGAAAATATTTAGGCTGCTGTATGATATGCAAAAAAGGCCTAAAATGGGGGTGTGTT